AATTAATGTATGTGAGCTATCCCAAGGTAAAGACAGAGTGAAGACGAGGCTTTTTTTCCCCCCTGTAAAGTAAATGTGCTGTTGTCAGTCTGGTAGGGTGGGGAGGAAGTAATAGAGTTGACCTCGGTGAGTTTCCTGTGAGGATTTCTGTGCTGGGATTAAAGTTACGTTTTACCTTGCAAGGGAAGGAGGAGATTTCAGTTCTGGATTTGGATTTCAATTTGTAGTGATTTTGTTTGTACAGGTTGACCCTCTCTGGTCTGGTACCCTTGGACTGACCAGTGATGAACCAGAGAATTTGCCAAACCACGGGAGATCAATATTGTCTAGCAGCATTATCAATGCTTCCATTGCTCACTAGGCTCTTAAAGACATTTAGGGTAAATTAGAGCTAAATTAGAACACTGAGAGCCAGGACTGGTAGCTGTAAACAAACTTTATGGGATCATGGGAAACTTGGCCAGACCCATGATAAATAGACATTCAACTAACTAAAATCATGCTGGACCACAGTTATTGCCAGACCAGTGTGTGCCAGACTAAAGAGGTCCAACCTGTACTGCAATAGAAATCAAAGTATCTATGTGATAGGCGCTGTACAGATTTATAGTAGGAAAGACCGTCTCTATCCCAAAGAGCTTATAATTTAAGACAAAACACTATAAGTTAATGTAACAAAAAAAAAAAAATGGAGAGAATGAGGAGTGATAAAGATAGAGGATAGAAGTGAAAGTGTTGCCAATGCTCTTAGTCTCATGGTATTTAGTATTTTCCATAAAGCTCTGGCTATTATAGTCAGTTGATGGTTAAGTGAAAATTTCAGCTTTCATTTTTTTTTTTTCAAAGGAGTAAGTTTCTAGCCTATGGACAAAAAGCTCCCAAACCAGAAAGCTAATAATAATAATTCTCAATATGTTATTCAAATATGACGGTTTTAAAGAGGGGCACCCCACACTGGCTGGAACAGCTCCTGTCTGCGACCCCTGCTACTCTTCTCTTTAGTCAGTTAACTGTTAACCAATTAAATGGAATTTTATGTTCCTAGTAGAAGATATGGTTATGGAGACATCCTCAGTGAGTTGGTTTTACAGTAATTTTTAAAAGATATGAATCAGTTTGTAAAGTTGTTGATTTAAAATACATATAGTATCTAGATGTAATTTTCTCATTCTGAGCTTAACAAAATGCAAAAATAAATAGTACAAAAAACTGTCCACCAAAATGTCTTACATAGGATTGTGCATGTAAATTCCTGTATCCAAAGTTTCATAAGTTTAGGAAACACTTATGGATTTTCAGTTTTGCATGCTTACAGCTCTAGGCTATTTATTTTATGTACTTTTCAGTGACTGCCAGGCTAAACAATACACTGACAAATCATTCACTTTTGGCGCACTCTGAAAAAGCTGCTAGGGAGAAGCTGTTACAGTGCACGTATTTCTCACTTGTTGATACATGTAGATGAGATGCTTTTGCCCTGCTTGAGAGAAGAGCCAGTCCTCTTTTCCCTATTTATCCAAAGCCTGCTTATGAAATATGATTATTTCGTTTAGTAATTGAGCTACTTTGTAAAGCGTGGTTAGCAACATTTTAATCTCTCATGTCAAACCTTTGTGCATTAATACTGTATGTTAAACACTTCTGAGTATGTGCAGAAGAACAAAAGGTATCATTTTCTGCATTTGTAGAACACACCCAAACTCTTGTGCTTAAATCCCTCTTCCCATTGCAATAGTGAATTGCCAGACTCCTAATACAAGATGGGTACCAAGGATGCCATTTTGGAAGGAAGGGTGCAGGGAGCTGCAGCCGTGTGTACTAGGACACTGCTTGCTCTTCTTGCTCTTTCCATCACTATCAGAGAGCCAGAAGAAAGCACACAGCTTGGCTCACATACTCCTCTGTCCTTTCCCCTCACCAGCTCAGAGTGAAAGGAATGTACCATGCTGAGAGTCACATAAATACCACCCTATACTGGAAACCTACTGACAGTTATACTTACCTACATGCCTCCAGCTTTCATATTACGTTATCCATTGTCTACAGCCAAGTCCCAAGATACAACAGCATTTGCTCCAGTGCCGCAGATGGAGACAGATACTTAACAGGATCTCTATCTAGCATCCTCAAAACTACAGCGCCCACCTGGGGAAGTAAAGAAACAAATTGACAGAGCCAGGCAGGTCCCCAAAAGTCACCTTCTTCAGGATTTGGCCCAACAAGGAAAGCAACAGAACACCACTAGCTATTACCTACAGCCCCCAGCTAAAACCTCTCCTACATAGCATCAAGGATCTACAAATTATCATAGATAATGATCCCTCGCTCTCATAGTCCTTGCTTACAGACATCCCCCACAACCTAAAACACATACTCACTAGCAACCACATACCCCACAATAAAAAATGCTAATCCAGGAACCAATCCCTGCAACAAACCCTGCTCCCAACTCTGTCCACACATCTACCCTAGTGACATCATCATAGGACCTAACCACATCAGACACAATCTCTGGGGCTAATCCACCCACACATCTGCTAATGTGATATATGCCATCATGTGCCAGCAATGTCTTTCTGCCATATACATTGTTGGACTAACCAGACTGTTTCTATGCAACAGAATAAATGGACGCTAATCAGACATCAAGAATCAGTGGGAGAACATTTTAACCTCCCACACACAGTTACAGACTTGAAAATTGTCATTCTCAAGAAAAACAAAAAACAAAACCCGGCTGCTGATCTGGAATTCCTGTGCACATTTGAAAGCATCAGAATGGGTCTAAATTTGAACTGGGAATGGCTCTCTCCATTACATTACATAATTTTCCCATTTTAGGTATTCTAAACTTGTCCACATCCACCCTGATTGTTAGCTCTGATGTAACACTTCCATTTCCATATCATTGCCATTTGTTTCATTTTCTTTATGAATCTGATGAAGCAAATTGCAACTCATGCTGTAATAAAATTGTTAGTCTTTAAGGTGCCACTGGACTTCTTGTTGTTTTTGATTTCTGCGTTTTTCTAGACTAAGATCAGAAGGGCTATCCAGACACTTGTTTGTTTTGGCTGTCTATTTTATTTTCCTTTCTTCAGGATTTTCCCATGAGGAAGTATTAGCAAGCTTATGGACATGGAGATTTCCTTACAAGGTGTAAAATTTACAAGGAAGTTTTGATTCAAGTAGTCACAAGTGTTGAGTAACATCAGCTGATTCACAAGAAAGGGTATTTTTATAGCATGTGGGACTGATGTATAAACTAGTCAGTTTGCTGATATTTTAAACTCAGACATAGCAAAACTTCAATCATCTTCATATCGTGTCTTTAGAGCTTGCCGAGAAAGAAGCTTTTGCAAAACAAGCTAGGATGTGAATTTGAATTGCAGTAGCTATTCTTCACTAACCTCTTCTGTGGACTCTCCTCTTTTGTATTAGAAGTGCCTCTAGGTTCCTCCATTTTCAAGCTATTCAAGGCTATTTCCCCTGCATAGACAAGCCCTTAGTTATTTCCTTTGCTGAGCGCTGTATTCTAGGGGCTTGACCGAAATGGAAAAAATTCTATTGCTCTCAATTTGGGAGAGGGTCAGGGCTGGCTATATTAGATGACTTTTTACATTTACACTTAAGAAGCCATTCAAATTAACTTACTCCTATCAAGCTTTTAGGGCATGTATCATGGGGGATCTCGGGAAAGTTAAGGGGAATTGACATTATTTCTCAAGTTAATGCCCATAAGCCCTTCGGAAGGACAAGTCAGCCACAGCTCTTATTCAACTTGTCCCTTTAAATGAATAACTTCAATAATTGGTTAATTGTAGACAGCAAACCTTTACTCCTGTTTTCTGTCTATTCATATCAGTTATCAAGTAAAGATTATAAAATATAACATTCAGAGTGCAAATTCCAACACTTGTGCTTGTACAGTAATTCAGTATTCTGCCTATGTTTTTTACATGTTTGGCAACAGAAAAAAATTACTCCTATCAAACCTTGCTTCTTCCCTTAAATATTATTGTTTTTTGCTTGCTTTTTATCTCTGCCTTAGTGTTGTTACTTTGATTGGGTCTGGTGAAATAATGTTGTGTTTTTATTTTATTCGCAGGCGATAGAAATTTTGCACCTAATGATCCACTGGAGTTTAAGTCTCATCAGTGGTTTGGAGCATCTGTGAGGTCTAAAAATGATAAAATTCTGGTAAGTCTTCTTGTAATGTTTTTCCGACACTTTTCCAGGAAAATACTGCAGTGGAAGGACTATGGATGCACTTGTGACAATTCAGAATTAAACTGAAACGCTTGTTGTGGCTGGCTTTTCTACTTAGTGCTAGCGAAAGAGATAGTGGATGTTAAAAGATATTTCTGAAAATTCCTTTAATGCCCTTTCAACAGATTGTTTTAATAGCATTGTACACAGCTTTTGATCAACTGATGCACGTTTATAAAAACACGAGTGGACTTTTCCTTGTCTATGATGTTACAACTGCGCAGCATGTAGATATGTGCTGTACTTCTACTAAAAGTAGTGCTTTGGGGCTATTCTTCCTTGGGCATGCAGTAGAACAATGGATGCAAAGATTCATCCCACATTGCTCAGGCATTCTGAAGAGAGATCTGTTTTCTAGACTGTCTTGTCTTTTCCTCAGGCCTGTGCCCCCTTGTATCATTGGAGAACTGAAATGAAACAGGAGAGAGAGCCTGTAGGAACTTGTTACCTTCATGATGGAGCGAAGGCTGTTGAATATGCTCCCTGCAGATCGAGTATGTATAGAAGGTTTTAACTTAGTAAATTTCAATTTCTCTTCTGTTACACCAGTTTGTGGGGAGTAAGAAGAGTATCTGTGGTATGTGCCTTCCCTTTTTTTGGCATTTAGTCTTGTGGTAACTGGAGAAGAACCTGACCCAAAGCCTCAAGTCTGGGCACTCCTGAACTTTTGGAGCACTCAGGATCTGCATTCAAATTTCACAGATGCCTTCATTCCCTACAGTGGATCAAACTTAAATCTTGGACCAGATATCCCTGAACTTTGAAGAATCTATATCTGAATTTCACAGCTCATTGATAATTGTTGTAGCATCCAAAATGATTCCACTTTCCCTCTGAGATGTGGATGTGGTTCTGTGGCAACCACATAGCAGGAATTTCAGAATCTAGAATTATTAATGCTCCAGTTGGTGTTCCTTTGATATGTGCCATAGCAGACTAAAGTTACTGCTAGTGAACTACTGCAACACATTATGGTACAAAAAGTGCCCTGCACAGAACAGTCCCAGAATCATGGGTGACACGAAGGGTCACATGCCCCAAATATTATGGGTGGGAGGGGCTGGCCAGCAGCTGGCAGGGAGACTAATCAGAGGAGTGGGAGCTGGTGCCTGCAGGAAGGGTCTGGTCCCCCACACTCACCAGCAGGAGAAGCGGAGCAAGGAGGCTCCAGATGTTTTGTTCTTCTATTGTGCTGCTCTGGGGGAGGCAGTGGGACCATCTCTGCGCTTCCCACAGGAAAATGGAGTGACATGGTGTCAGGGGGTACACACCCCCAGTGTGCCTCAGTGCCCCCTGACTGTCCTCATATAGCCCCTCTCAGGGCAAGTTACAGTCTGTATGGGTTGCTCATCATAGGCATCTGTCGCAACGGCTCTGCTTACCTAGTCGGCCTCCTGGTCAGGCCGCAAACCAGAGTCTTTGTCTCCAGCCCCTAGTCAAGGGGAGTCTTGGCTGGCCTACTTCCAGCCTTTGCTGGCTCTCCCCAGCTTGTCTCCCTCCAAGGAGCTCCTGCTTCCTCTGCAGTCAGCCCTCCACTGGCTCCCCTTAAGCATACTATGCTTCTCCATTTATAGCTGTCAGCTGGGCTCTCACTCGCCCTAATGGGTTCAGCTGGCTTCTACAAGCCAATTGTGCTGCCCTAGATAGTTGCCAGCTGGGCTCTCCCTAGCCCAAACAGCTCCAGCTGGCCTCTTTCTTTCTAGCCCTGGCTCAGGGCCTGAGTCCTGGTCTTAAAGGGCCAGTGCAGGGCAGACGCCCTGTCACACATGGCTAGGGGAGCAAAGCAGCTGGGGCTGCCTGCTCTGCTTCCCTTGTCGCTGCTGGATGGTATAGGGAGGATGGTGGACACTTGCTGCCGGTGTTGGCTCTGCTAGTCTCTGGGATTGTCTTGGTAGAGGGAAGGGGCGAAAAGGGGGAGAGCAAGGGCGAGGTGGGGAGGAGACAGAGGCGCTATTGGCCTCCCCCAGCCCAGTGACGGGCCAGGACATGTGGCTGGTGCCCCACTCCAGGGTCCCTCCAGACCAGTTTCCTCTGCCCAGAGTTCTGTGCAACTAAACAACTAAAAGTAGCAATAAACTTAGGGTAATAGTCTCAAAAGTGGCCTCTGATTTTTGTTGTTGTTGTTGATACCTTCATGTTTCTTGTACTCAGTGTCAGATATCTTGAGTCTATTGGTTTGAAAATGCTGAGCACCCACAGATCCTGGTCATGTCAGTAGTGTCTGTGGTGGTTCAAAACCTCTGCAATCAGACCCAAGGTATCTCAACTCAAGCACCAGCGTAAGAGAGTATTTTTGAATTTTTTTACTGTATCTCCTTACCTCCCTTTGGATTAAAAAACTGACTTGAGAAATTTTGCAGAACAGCAAGGAGTGCATTCCGTAGTCATCCAACATAAAAGGAGCATACATGACTACATTTTATAGCAAATATCCATCTGGTCATACTGTCGTAAATAAGGGCTTGTTACGTTTCTGCCCTAACGCTGTATATTCATGGGATTAACTCTCAGTAAAACTCTCTCTGGGCTGACTCTTGACATGGGAACTATCCGTTCTGGAATGCTTGTTTTGTTTTTCCTTCTTCAGAAAGCCCTTGAAATATGTTATATTATAGTTGTGTAGATTTCTGGTTTTGGTTTTGTTTGTTTTTTGCATAAAAAGTGAAAATACACTCCTATGTCCAGAGACTTTACATTTATTTGCTGCACCCCCCCCCCCCCC